CATCAATTTTTTTGGCTTAGCCAATTAACTTATGAGAAATTTCATAAAATAACCATATCTTAAAGGGTGTTTTCACCTTTTACCTTAAAATTTCGAAATTTGTAAAATGATCATCAGATCCGTAATCGCTTAATGGCTCTAAGGATCGGTTAATGGCTCAGATGATCTCTTCTTGAGCAAAAATAGTGTCAATTTTTTAGGTATGAAAAAGTAATTGCCCGTTTTTTTAGTTTTTTTAGTTAATTATATGTTGTTAGGGTGTATGATAGTTTGTATGAATGTATGATAGTTTAGTAATTAGTAAATCCCAAATTTTTATCCGATTTTTGCCATGGAAATATCGTTTCTACAAAGAACAGATCCGCAAAAGTGTTTTGCTCAAGAACATATCCACAAAGCCCCCTCCCCTCTAAGGATCGATGTTCGTCTCTGCGAAATTATTAATTATTTATTTATTATTTATTATTTTGATTTTATATGCGAAAATGATTATTAAGTAACAAAAATTATTAAAAACCCCCTAAAAACCCCCGTAAAAATTGTTCTTTAGTGCTGTCACCTTATTAAGATCCTCAGAAAGGTAAACGGATTAGCAGACCCGATGATCATTTTATAATTTTTGAAATTTTATGATTAAAATGTGAAAATACCCCTTAAAATATGGTTATTTCATGAAATTTGTCTTAAGTTATTCCGTCTAAATTAAGTTAACTGGAAAAAAAAACATGTGTCCATTGTACACTTGATTAAAATCTATAGAACTAATACATTCTATTGTGATCTTTGGGAAATTGAAACACTTCGATAAAAATCTATATAAACATTGTATTCTCTAATTCTACAAAGTCAAGGTTTTAATTAATATATATTTTAGTTAAAAACGTATACTAATAATGAAACTCATAAATAAAACAAAACGGATTATCTTTTAGACCACAATTGATCCCAAAAATATGTGCTGAAATAAATTGAAACACAAATCGTCCCTCATGTAGGCGTCAAAAGACATGTTTAGTCCGTATTTTCAAAAATTAAATTCTACCGTCCCTCGTTTAGTTAAAAGTTACACATTTCATCCCTTACAAGACATGAACTGACTATAATGTCGTTTTTAATTTATTTTTGATTTATTTTTTATGTTTTTGATTACTTTTAATTAATAAAAAATCATTTAATTAAATTCGTGGGTCCACTTAACCTTTTAATGTTTTAAAAGGTTAAGAGGACCCACGAATTTAATTAAATGATTTTACATATATATATATATATATATATATATATATATATATATATATATATATATATATATATATATATATATATATATATATTGCTTGAGAACACTTAAACACTACAACCGGAAATTTGAACCACCATCGGAAAATGGAATACCACCAGAAACCCTCTTGATTACTGTCCACAAATGTAACACAAAACACACAAATGGAAATCATAAATAGACTGAGCACTCAGGCATGACCTACTCTTCCCCCTTAAATTCACCGACTCCGACGATGAATCAGGTCGTCTTCTTCTACCGAGAACTAGTAGCTGCAAGAGTACCATAACAATAATCCCATCAAATAACATCTCTTCCACGTCTTTCATTCTTGATCCACCCTCTACCACCGATGACAAACCCCTTATCGGAAAAGATGGTCTTAGGTAGGCTATGGTCGTTGTTTATCAAGATTCGGTATCTCCATATTTCTCTGGTCGATTCTCAACATTGTATCAATCCACGTAATTATTCGGTATCTGCAAAATCTGGTACCGACCCAACTCTCATTAATGTTGTCGCCAGCTCGGAAAATCACCATCGTATTATTTGGTTTCAAACCTTCACCTTCATCGTCTCAAATCTCGCCGCCACCGCTGCCTAGGGTTAGTATCTGTTACTTCCATTCATTGGATTTGATACGATGGGAAAAACAAACATGTCATCACCTATAGTCATTTAGATCTGAAAGCGAGTTCCAGATCTACGTGTGTAGATGTTTGGTTTCTCTATACCTCGACAGATCTGGTGGGTAGTGTATTGCCTAGGGTCGATCTCCTCTATACAAAACCTTAGATCTGAATTGGTGCTCTTCTACGTGAGAGAGGGAAAGAATGTTAAGGATGCAATGGCCGAAAAAGTCAGCCAGAGTTGGTATCGGGCTGGAGTGGGTGGTGATGGTGGATAAGAAAATTTATTTTAAGCTACTAGTATCCAGGTTTTTATAAATTATGTTTCTTGTTTTTTATTTTATTTTTTTAAATCTATGTGTCTAATTTAATGACCTCTTTAATGAATACTTCAGTTCACGAATAAAGAAATTACCAACAAAATCACTATTGATCTTCATGGACAATATAGACATGAGGCAATGTGGTTTTTGAAGCTTTACTTGTGGCTGTTTAACAATTTGCGTAGTATGATCATTAATATTAGTTTATTTAATATCTTTTCATGTCTTTTTCTTTAATTTTTTATTCTTTACAACAGTTGTAAAGGAAATTGTTGTGATAACAGGACATGCTGATGATCGAGAAACCGGTTTTGAAGCCAATGGTACATGTACTTTTTATTCAATTTTAATTTTCAATAGTTAAAGAATAAAAGATTTGCTTTTGTTTTGTAGTTCATTAGTTTATTAAAAAGATATGGAATGGAGCCTAAAGAATTAGACATTTCAACTGTCGAGATGTCTAAACTAGAAGAAGCCTGCCAAGGGTTGATGACAATGTCATCTGCATTACTGCATTACTATTGGTAGATGCATTATATATAAATTCCATCTCATTGGACCTGGAATGGTCAACAAAAAAAATTCGATTGTCTTTAGTTTCTTCACTTGTTTTCTTTAGCACCTGATGATGTGGACAGAAATTAAAAAAATCACATACGATGATAATGATCCAACATATATTTGACCAATATATCCCTATAGTCATATTTTTACATGGAAATATCTGAATTCTTCTCTGAAAAGCGAGAAAAAGCTTATAGTAGCTGAACCAAAAATTATGATAGTTTAAAGTTTATGTAATTGAATAGCGTTATTAACATATTGAATTTACAATAAATTTTTATTGTAGAAATTTTAACGTATTTATGCGTCCACTTATTGAAAAATTTATTGTAAATTCAATATGTTAATAACGCTATTCAATCACATAAACTTTAAACTACCATAATTTTTGGTTCAGCTACTATAGACTTTTTCTCGCTTTTCAGAGAAGAATTAAGATATTTCTACATAAAAATATGACTATAGGAATATATTGGTCAAATATATGTTGGATCATTATCATCGTATGTGATTTTGTTAATTTCTGTCCACATCATCAGGTGCTAAAGAAAACAAGTGAAGAAACTAAAGACAATCGAATTTTTTTGTTGACCATTCCAGGTCTAATGAGATGGAATTTCCATACAATGCATCTATCAATAGTAATGCATTAATGCAGATGATATTGTCATCAATCATGGCAGGCTTCTTCTAGTTTAGACATCTCTACAGTCGGAAATGTCTAATTCTTTAGGCTCAATTCCATATCTTTTTAATAAACCAATGAACTACAAAACAAAAGCAAATATTTTATTCTTTAAGTATTGAAAATTAAAATTGAATAAAAAGTACATGTACCATTGGCTTCAAAACCGATTCCGTTTCTCGGTCATCAGCATGTCCTGTTATCACAACAATTTCCTTTACAGCTGTTGTAAAGAATAAAAAATTAAAGAAAAAGACATGAAAATATATTAAATAAACTAATGTTAATGATCATACTACGCAAATTGTTCAACAGTCACAAGTGAAGCTCCGAAAACCACATTGCCTCATGTCTATATTGTCCATGAAGATCAATAGTGATTTTGTTGGTAATTTCTTTATTCGTGAATTGAAGAATTCATTAAAAAGGTCATTAAATTAGAAACATAGATTTAAAAAAAAAAATAAATAAATAAATAAAATAAACAAGAAACATAATTTATAAAAACCTGGATACTAGTAGCTTAAAGTAATTTTTCTTATCTTCGACCTTGATCTCCTTTCTTAAGTTCTCTGCTTCATCCATCTTTTGATTTCGAAGAATTATACTTCCTTCCTTGAAAAATTTAGAGGCCTGCATTAAGAGAAGATAGAAAAAAGATGTACATAAAAACGAGACAGAAAAAACTGAATATCTCTAAGAATAAAATTAGTACCTGTTTGGTCCCATAAATTGGCACGACGTTCACTTTGTTTTGCATCTTGAATAAGATCTCTAATTTCTAAATTTCTTCTGATATCTACAATAAAAATAATAGTTTTATTGATTCTTTCTATTAGGGATGAGAATTTGACCCGAAAACCTGAACCAAACCGAATTAGGCCCGAATAAGCAATTCGATTTGGTTTTTGGGTATTTATATTATGTTTATTCGGTCCGCGTTATCCAAATAAGACCTTATTCAGTTCTAAATACCCGTCCCAAATAAGAGCATATTGGATTTTACATTCTTATATCTCAAAGAATAGTTAATTCGTCGTTTACATTTTTACTACACAAATTCTAACCTTTTTTTACACCTTCAAAACAATTTTGTATACTTTGCATTATTTTTAATTAACAAATTTATTTATTTAAAGGATTTGTTAAGAAATCATAAGCTACAAAAGTCATAAAAAATACAATGTTTATAATCATATTGTAAATGTTGTTTGGGTTATAGAATCCTAATACAGTTTATTCAGTGTTTTTTCGGTTATATTAGGTGCTTAATCATCTTGTACATGTTATTCGGGTAATAACTGAACCAAATCGATTAATACCTAAACTAAACCGAACCCGTATTGGTTAATTGGTTCCGTTCTCGGTCCATGCAATTACCCTTATTTGGTTTTCGGGTTGTTCACGTCGGTTTCAATCCGGTTCAACATCTCTACTTTCTATGTTACAACAAACAACAAAAATAATGTCAAGGATACTAACCTTGTGGGTTGACACCCACGTAAAGTTGGCCACATCGCAGTAATGCCTCTAAAACCGATCGCCAACTATTTTTTTGATCACTAACCCAGTCCATCTCATTATCAAAGTTGTAGTCTATTTTATTCAAGAAAAATGTGATTTCAAAAACGCCCGGGTTTTCTGAGTCTGACATATTTTCTAAGTAAGTAACGACCGATCTGCAAAAAAACATAGATAGTTAATTATAAAAAAATATATAATCATAATGTAAAATAAACAAATTTGTACCGCTTGATGGTTTGGATTCCCCGAAATTATAGTTATTTTTTGCAAGGCTGTTTAGAAAAATAAAAACTTACATATTAGTAAAGATATAAGAAGGTATCTAATAATAAACTAATGTTACAACTTCTTAGGTTAAATGCAATCCATAGATGAATATCTATAGAACAAATTGCATTCTCTTCTGACTGGTCTCCCAAATTGATTTTGATTGTGTTATGACGATCTATTCCTGAAATATAAACATCATAGTTGTTAATAACTTTATTTTTTTATATAACTAATTGGGAGACCCATGCATTACATGGGTTAATTTAAAAGAAAAAAAATTAAATATAAAAAGTCAATATTTGAGAACTTTGAACTTATAAGAAAGTAAGAAAAATAACGAATTATTATAACTGAAATGTTTTTTATCTTTTAAATTTAAATAAATAAATATAAAAAACTACAGAGCTTTAATTTGAGAATTTTAAAATTTAAAGGTAAGTTTATTAATAAAACTTATATCAATTTATTACTATAATTATTGCAATTATTACATTAAAATATTATGTGAAAATTTAATAAAATAGAAAAGCTCATAAAATGACGTGGAAAAAAATTTTAATTTAAAATAACCACAAAATGACATTTGACAAATTGAATAAGAATGTGACATGTGACCAAAAAAAAAAAACACTTCTTTTTTTAGAGTAGATTAAAACAAACTTAAAGCTAACGTTAATTCAATCAATTTAAAACTCTCCAGTTTTTTGTTCCTTGCTAGATCCCTTTCTAGAGCCGGTCTCAATATCTCATCCTACAAACAAAAGTCATTTAAAAGTTAAAACTATCCACTTTTGTTAAAAAAAAACTGCAATTTTTAACAAAAGAACTTTACTCTATAAATAAAATAAAATAAAATAAAATAAAATAAAATAAAAACTACATGTTTAAATAAAAATAACAATATTAATAAAAAACTGCATTTTAATAGCTTTTATTTGTAAAAAAACAACAAAACAACACCACTTATAAAAAACACATCTTGTAATAATTCAAAATGACTTGACTCATCATAATTCCTTATGGGTCAAATGCTTTGTTAAAGATCATCACTAGCCCAATAAAACAAATATTATTTAGAAGACTTTAGCTTGTTCTAGAATGCTCTAGAAGATTCTAGAACATTATGGAAGACTATGGAAGACTCTGGAATATACCGGAAGAGTCTAGAATACTCTAGAACGACATGGAAGACCCTGGAAGGATATGGATCATTCTAGAAGACATTGGAGCAACCTAGACCTCTCCAGAACATGGTAGAACGTTCTAGAAACATATGGAAGCATGTAGAGTATGTTAGATAGTTCTAGAGTTATCTAGTATGTAGTAAGTGTATGCTAGTATCTAGAACCTTCCTAAGAGGCCTATAAATAGGTATGGAGCTCATTTGCTCCAAACCATCCAAGAAAGCCTCAAAGAAAGCAAAGTGTGTAGTAATCTCACAAAGTGTAAGTTCTCCTTAAGTGTCTTAATAAAAGTCTTGTTGTTTCCCATATAAAAGAGTCGTGTTCAACATGCTTTAATTCTTACCTTCTTAAAGGAAGAAGTTTATGGGATGTAGGGCCTAAAGATAAAATGAGTTGGAGTTGGAGAAACCTATTGAAGATTAGACCTTACCTTCATGACTCTTTTTATTCTCATATTGGAAATGGTGAAGATACTTCCATGTGGTTTGAAAATTTGCATCAACTAGGTCCTTTGAGTTATTTCCTATCTCATAGAGAAATAGCTAATGATGGGTTTAATATACGGGATAAAGTGAGTGATGTGATAGTTAATGAAGATTAGAGTTGGCCATTTGATTGATTGAGAATGATTCTACAGCTTGGAGATTACCCTGTTCCTAGGCTCATTAGAGAGAAAAAGGATGTTGTGTTGTGGATGAACTGGAAGCGAGATATTGTTCCTTCTACTGTTAGTCATGTCTTTTCTTCTCTAATTAGTCTAGAGCCCAAAGTTGATTGGTATGACTTGGTTTGGTTTCAAAACAAAATTCTCAATCACTGTTTCATTCTTTGGCTAGCTATTCTTTGTTTCATTCTTTGGCTAGCTATTCTTGGAAGACTTAGAACACAAGCTAGAATGAAAAAATGGAAAGTTTCTGATGACTTCTCTTGTGCTTTTTGTAACAATCAAGTGGATTCTCATACTCATTTGTGTTTTGAATGTAATTTCCCAATGGAAGTTTGGAAGATGATAAAAGACAATGTGACTTTCAAACAAAAATCGGGAAATTGGTTTGAGATGATTCAGGGACCTCAATACTCTTTAAAGGCAAAAACAAGAACCAAGAAATTGGTTTGAGATGATACACAAAAACAAAAAAAAAATGACTCGAATCGTTTGACAACTATGCCCCTGGCTATTAACTAGTTAATCAACCCAAATTATTAATACTATTGACGACGGTGAGTCTAACCGCCGTCCTCAAAATCTAAGCCGTCTAAACTCCCACGTTCTTTCGATCTCGGCCGCATAAACTCGATTTTGGTGGTTGTTTACGATTCCAGCAATCGGTTTTGACGACCCTCCTCCTTCTCCCCACCTCCCACATTCCGGTGCTCTGTAATAATTGCAATAATTATAGTAATAAATTGATATCAGTTTTATTAATAAACTTACCTTTAAATTTTAAAATTCTCAAATTAAAGCTCTGTAGTTTTTTATATTTATTTATTTAAATTATTTGTTTAAATTTAAAAGATAAAAAACATTTTAGTTATAATAATTCATTATTTTTCTTACTGTCTTATAAATTCAAAGTTCTCAAATAGTGACTTTTTATATTTATTTTTTTTTCTTTTAAATTAACCCATGTAATGCATGGGTCACCCAATTAGTTATATAAAAAAATAAAGTTATTAACAACTATGATGTTTATATTTCAGGAATAGAGATCGTCATAACACAATAAAAATCAATTTGAGAGACCAGTTAGAAGAGACGTCATAACACAATAAAAATCAATTTGAGAGACCAGTCAGAAGAGAATGCAATTTGTCTTATAGATATTCATCTATGGATTGCATTTAACCTGGGAAGTTATAACATTAGTTTATTATTAGATACTTTCTTATATCTTTACTAATATGTAAGTTTTTATTTTTCTAAACAACCTTGCATAAAATAACTATAATTTTGGGGAATGCGAACCATCAAGCGGTACAAATTTGTTTATTTTACATTATGATTATATATATTTTTATAATTAACTATCTATGTTTTTTTGCAGATCAGTGGTTACTTACTTAGAAAATACGTCCGACTCAAAGAAAACCCGGGCGTTTTTGAAATCGCATTTTTCTTGAATAAAAAAGACTACAACTTTGATAATGAGATGGACTGGGTTGGTGATCAAACAAATAGTTGGCGATCGGCTTTAGAGGCATTACTGCGATGTGGCCAACTTTAAGTGGGTGTCAACCCACAAGGTTAGTATCCTTGACATTATTTTTGTTGTTTATTGTAACATAGAAAGTAGGGATGTTATTCGGACTGGAACCGGATAGAACCGACGTGAGCAACTCGAAAACCAAATAAGGGTAATTGCATGGACTGAGAACCGAACCAATTAACCAATACGGGTTCGGTTGGTTTAGGTATTAATCAATTCGGTTTAGTTATTACCCGAATTACCCGAATAACATGTACAAGATGATTAAGCATCTAATATAACCGAAAAAACCCTGAATAAACCGTATTAGGATTCTATAACCCAAACAACATTTACAATATGATCATAAACAATGTATTTTTTATGACTTTTGTAGCTTATGATTTCTTAACAAATCCTTTAAATAAATAAATTTGTTAATTAAAAATAATGCAAAGTATACATAATTGTTTCAAAGGTGTAAAAAAATGTTAGAATTTGTGTAGTAAAAATCTAAATACCCGTCCCAAATAAAAGCATATTGGATTTTACATTCTTATATCTTAGTTAATTCGTCATTTACATTTTTACTACACAAATTCTAACCTTTTTTTACACCTTTGAAACAATTATGTATACTTTGCATTATTTTTAATTAACAAATTTATTTATTTAAAGGATTTGTTAAGAAATCATAAGCTACAAAAGTCATAAAAAATACATTGTTTATGATCATATTGTAAATGTTGTTTGGGTTATAGAATCCTAATACGGTTTATTCAGGGTTTTTTCGGTTATATTAGATGCTTAATCATCTTGTACATGTTATTCGGGTAATTCGGGTAATAACTAAACCGAATCGATTAATACCTAAACCAACCGAACCCGTATTGGTTAATTGGTTCGGTTCTCAGTCCATGCAATTACCCTTATTTGGTTTTCGTGTTGTTCACGTCGGTTCTATCCGGTTCCGGTCCAAATAACATCCCTACTTTCTATGTTACAATAAACAACAAAAATAATGTCAAGGATACTAACCTTGTGGGTTGACACCCACTTAAAGTTGGCCACATCGCAGTAATGCCTCTAAAGCCGATCGCCAACTATTTGTTTGATCACCAACCCAGTCCATCTCATTATCAAAGTTGTAGTCTTTTTTATTCAAGAAAAATGCGATTTCAAAAACGCCCGGGTTTTCTTTGAGTCGGACGTATTTTCTAAGTAAGTAACCACTGATCTGCAAAAAAACATAGATAGTTAATTATAAAAATATATATAATCATAATGTAAAATAAACAAATTTGTACCGCTTGATGGTTCGCATTCCCCAAAATTATAGTTATTTTATGCAAGGTTGTTTAGAAAAATAAAAACTTACATATTAGTAAAGATATAAGAAAGTATCTAATAATAAACTAATGTTATAACTTCCCAGGTTAAATGCAATCCATAGATGAATATCTATAAGACAAATTGCATTCTCTTCTGACTGGTCTCTCAAATTGATTTTTATTGTGTTATGACGTCTCTTCTAACTGGTCTCTCAAATTGATTTTTATTGTGTTATGACGATCTCTATTCCTGAAATATAAACATCATAGTTGTTAATAACTTTATTTTTTTATATAACTAATTGGGAGACCCATGCATTACATGGGTTAATTTAAAAGAAAAAAAAAATATAAAAAGTCACTATTTGAGAACTTTGAATTTATAAGACAGTAAGAAAAATAATGAATTATTATAACTAATTTTGTTAAGTGCAAGTAGTTCGCTAAAGGAACTTGATCACTCCCTATGCCTCTGTCCCTTTACATCCCACCACCAATGAAGGTTGATTCTTTCAAACCAAATTCCTTGACTTTTTACAAAAAACTTTCCTCAATTATTTTTCCTTCTTTTTCCCTAATTATGTTCTCATTTTCTTAAATATAAGCCCTAACTTGACTTAACAGAGATTTACCTGTTTATCTGTGTCGCAAAGATAATTCCATGTTTGAGGTGTATAGGAATGGATCAATGGAGTCATCATTAACATTGAAAACACAATAATTGATAAATCAGATTCTAAGATCTAATTTCCATATTATTTAATATCAATTTGAAGAGGAATTTTATATAATAAAAAGATAGAGTAAAAGTTCACCTTTCATTTTGTAACCCCTGTCTTTCTAACAATGGGGATTGCACCATATCTAAAGGCTTCATCTAGAGCAAAATAAAATAATAGTTAAATAATTGTTAGTTTTCAATTTCCATCTATTAACATAAGAAATAAAATATCATAATGAACAAATAATATCTGCTTCCCATGGAAGTTGACGAATTTACCTCTTCTTATTTATACTTCCAAACGCCTCCAATTAAAACTCAAACCGAAAATCAAATGAATCCATGTTTTTCCACATCAATGACAAATGATTCGGTTCGAGATTAAATAAGGGGGAAAAATTAACACAATCACAATGTGGAGCTAGTAGGAGAAACGTACCTGAGTGGTTGTGCGAGATGAAAAACTTAGGCTAGGGTTCATGAATTGGGGATGATGGGTTGTACATGAAGATCTGAAGCGAGAGAAGGAGATGAAATAGAGGAGCATCAGGAACATTGGAGATGAAGTGGTGTCTTTCTTATACTTCAATCAAAGAAACCTTCATACTCAATCGTGAAGCCAAGAGAGAAATAAGGGGAGATCGTGGGAAGAATTACAGAGCACCGGAACGTGGGAGGTGGGGAGGAGGAGGGTCGTCAAAACCGATTGCTGGAACCGTAAACAACCGCCAAAATCGAGTTTATGCGGCCGAGATCGAAAGAACGTGGGAGTTTAGACGGCTTAGATTTTGAGGACGGCGGTTAGACTCACGGTCGTCAATAGTATTAATAATTTGGGCAGGGACATAGTTGTCAAACGAGTCGAGTCATTTTTTTTTTGTTTATCATCTCAAACCAATTTCCTGGTTTTTGTTTGAAATTCACATTGCCTTTTATCATCTTCCAAACTTCCAATTGGGAAATTACATTAAAAAAACAAATGAGTATGAGAATCCACTTGATTGTTACAAAAAGCACTAGAGAAGTCATCAGAAACTTTCCATTTTTTCATTCTATCTTGTGTTCTATGTCTTCCAAGAATAGCTAGCCAAAGAATGAAACAGTGTCCGAGAATTTTGTTTTGAAACCAAACCAAGTCATACCAATCAACTTTGGGCTCTAGACTAATTAGAGAAGAAAAGACATGACTAACAGTAAAAGGAACAATATCTCGCTTCTAGTTCATCCACAACACAACATCCTTTTTCTTTCTAATGAGCCTAGGAACAAGGTACTCTCCAAGCTGTGAAATCATTCTCTGCCAATCAAATGGCCAACTCCAATCTTCATTAACTATCACATCACTGACTTTATCCCGTATATTAAACCCAGCATTAGCTATTTCTCTATGAGATAGGAAATAACTCAAAGGACCTAGTTGATGCAAATTATCAAACCACATGGAAGTATCTTCACCATTTCCAATATGAGAATAAAAAGAGTCCTGAAGGTAAGGTCTAATCTTCAACAGGTTTTTCCAACTCCAACTCATTTTATCTTTAGGCCCCACATCCCATAAACTTCTTCCTTTAAATGATTTATGTTTGTAGGAAGAGATATTGAGACCGGCTCTAGAAAGGGATCTTGCAAGGAACAAAAAATTTGAGGGTTTTAAATTGATTGAATTAAGGTTAGCTTTAAGTTTATTTTTAATCTACTCTAAAAAAAGAAGTGTTTTTTTTTTTTTTGTCACATGTGACATTCTTATTCAATTTGTCAAATGTCATTTGGTGGTTATTTTAAATTAAATTTTTTTTCCACATGTCATTTTATGAGCTTTTCTATTTTATTAAATTTCACATAATATTTTAATGTAATAATTGCAATAATTATAGTAATAAATTGATATCAGTTTTATTAATAAACTTACCTTTAAATTTTAAAATTCTCAAATTAAAGCTCTGTAGTTTTTTATATTTATTTATTTAAATTATTTGTTTAAATTTAAAAGATAAAAAACATTTTAGTTATAATAATTCATTATTTTTCTTACTGTCTTATAAATTCAAAGTTCTCAAATAGTGACTTTTTATATTTATTTTTTTTTCTTTTAAATTAACCCATGTAATGCATGGGTCACCCAATTAGTTATATAAAAAAATAAAGTTATTAACAACTATGATGTTTATATTTCAGGAATAGAGATCGTCATAACACAATAAAAATCAATTTGAGAGACCAGTTAGAAGAGACGTCATAACACAATAAAAATCAATTTGAGAGACCAGTCAGAAGAGAATGCAATTTGTCTTATAGATATTCATCTATGGATTGCATTTAACCTGGGAAGTTATAACATTAGTTTATTATTAGATACTTTCTTATATCTTTACTAATATGTAAGTTTTTATTTTTCTAAACAACCTTGCATAAAATAACTATAATTTTGGGGAATGCGAACCATCAAGCGGTACAAATTTGTTTATTTTACATTATGATTATATATATTTTTATAATTAACTATCTATGTTTTTTTGCAGATCAGTGGTTACTTACTTAGAAAATACGTCCGACTCAAAGAAAACCCGGGCGTTTTTGAAATCGCATTTTTCTTGAATAAAAAAGACTACAACTTTGATAATGAGATGGACTGGGTTGGTGATCAAACAAATAGTTGGCGATCGGCTTTAGAGGCATTACTGCGATGTGGCCAACTTTAAGTGGGTGTCAACCCACAAGGTTAGTATCCTTGACATTATTTTTGTTGTTTATTGTAACATAGAAAGTAGGGATGTTATTCGGACTGGAACCGGATAGAACCGACGTGAGCAACTCGAAAACCAAATAAGGGTAATTGCATGGACTGAGAACCGAACCAATTAACCAATACGGGTTCGGTTGGTTTAGGTATTAATCAATTCGGTTTAGTTATTACCCGAATTACCCGAATAACATGTACAAGATGATTAAGCATCTAATATAACCGAAAAAACCCTGAATAAACCGTATTAGGATTCTATAACCCAAACAACATTTACAATATGATCATAAACAATGTATTTTTTATGACTTTTGTAGCTTATGATTTCTTAACAAATCCTTTAAATAAATAAATTTGTTAATTAAAAATAATGCAAAGTATACATAATTGTTTCAAAGGTGTAAAAAAATGTTAGAATTTGTGTAGTAAAAATCTAAATACCCGTCCCAAATAAAAGCATATTGGATTTTACATTCTTATATCTTAGTTAATTCGTCATTTACATTTTTACTACACAAATTCTAACCTTTTTTTACACCTTTGAAACAATTATGTATACTTTGCATTATTTTTAATTAACAAATTTATTTATTTAAAGGATTTGTTAAGAAATCATAAGCTACAAAAGTCATAAAAAATACATTGTTTATGATCATATTGTAAATGTTGTTTGGGTTATAGAATCCTAATACGGTTTATTCAGGGTTTTTTCGGTTATATTAGATGCTTAATCATCTTGTACATGTTATTCGGGTAATTCGGGTAATAACTAAACCGAATCGATTAATACCTAAACCAACCGAACCCGTATTGGTTAATTGGTTCGGTTCTCAGTCCATGCAATTACCCTTATTTGGTTTTCGTGTTGTTCACGTCGGTTCTATCCGGTTCCGGTCCAAATAACATCCCTACTTTCTATGTTACAATAAACAACAAAAATAATGTCAAGGATACTAACCTTGTGGGTTGACACCCACTTAAAGTTGGCCACATCGCAGTAATGCCTCTAAAGCCGATCGCCAACTATTTGTTTGATCACCAACCCAGTCCATCTCATTATCAAAGTTGTAGTCTTTTTTATTCAAGAAAAATGCGATTTCAAAAACGCCCGGGTTTTCTTTGAGTCGGACGTATTTTCTAAGTAAGTAACCACTGATCTGCAAAAAAACATAGATAGTTAATTATAAAAATATATATAATCATAATGTAAAATAAACAAATTTGTACCGCTTGATGGTTCGCATTCCCCAAAATTATAGTTATTTTATGCAAGGTTGTTTAGAAAAATAAAAACTTACATATTAGTAAAGATATAAGAAAGTATCTAATAATAAACTAATGTTATAACTTCCCAGGTTAAATGCAATCCATAGATGAATATCTATAAGACAAATTGCATTCTCTTCTGACTGGTCTCTCAAATTGATTTTTATTGTGTTATGACGTCTCTTCTAACTGGTCTCTCAAATTGATTTTTATTGTGTTATGACGATCTCTATTCCTGAAATATAAACATCATAGTTGTTAATAACTTTATTTTTTTATATAACTAATTGGGAGACCCATGCATTACATGGGTTAATTTAAAAGAAAAAAAAAATAAATATAAAAAGTCACTATTTGAGAACTTTGAATTTATAAGACAGTAAGAAAAATAATGAATTATTATAACTAATTTTGTTAAGTGCAAGTAGTTCGCTAAAGGAACTTGATCACTCCCTATGCCTCTGTCCCTTTACATCCCACCACCAATGAAGGTTGATTCTTTCAAACCAAATTCCTTGACTTTTTACAAAAAACTTTCCTCAATTATTTTTCCTTCTTTTTCCCTAATTATGTTCTCATTTTCTTAAATATAAGCCCTACTTGACTTAACAGAGAGATTTACCTGTTTATCTGTGTCGCAAAGATAATTCCATGTTTGAGGTGTATAGGAATGGATCAATGGAGTCATCATTAACATTGAAAACACAATAATTGATAAATCAGATTCTAAGATCTAATTTCCATATTATTTAATATCAATTTGAAGAGGAATTTTATATAATAAAAAGATAGAGTAAAAGTTCACCTTTCATTTTGTAACCCCTGTCTTTCTAACAATGGGGATTGCACCATATCTAAAGGCTTCATCTAGAGCAAAATAAAATAATAGCTAAATAATTGTTAGTTTTCAATTTCCATCTATTAACATAAGAAATAAAATATCATAATGAACAAATAATATCTGCTTCCCATGGAAGTTGACGAATTTACCTCTTCTTATTTATACTTCCAAACGCCTCCAATTAAAACTCAAACCGAAAATCAAATGAATCCATGTTTTTCCACATCAATGACAAATGATTCGGTTCGAGATTAAATAAGGGGGAAAAATTAACACAATCACAATGTGGAGCTAGTAGGAGAAACGTACCTGAGTGGTTGTGCGAGATGAAAAACTTAGGCTAGGGTTCATGAATTGGGGATGATGGGTTGTACATGAAGATCTGAAGCGAGAGAAGGAGATGAAATAGAGGAGCATCAGGAACATTGGAGATGAAGTGGTGTCTTTCTTATACTTCAATCAAAGAAACCTTCATACTCAATCGTGAAGCCAAGAGAGAAATAAGGGGAGATCGTGGGAAGAATTACAGAGCACCGGAACGTGGGAGGTGGGGAGGAGGAGGGTCGTCAAAACCGATTGCTGGAACCGTAAACAACCGCCAAAATCGAGTTTATGCGGCCGAGATCGAAAGAACGTGGGAGTTTAGACGGCTTAGATTTTGAGGACGGCGGTTAGACTCACGGTCGTCAATAGTATTAATAATTTGGGC